AAAAAATTAAAAATCATCATCATAACAAGCAAAGGGGGGGATGGATGTTTAGAGACAAATTGCTAAACTCAAAATACCTAAGGGGTTCCTATTTAGCAGGGGTTTTGTGTGTGTGTGTGTGTGTGTGTGTGTGTGTGTGTGTGTTTGTTTGTTTGTTTTTTTAATGCTGTGTTGTGTTTAAAGATTGGGTTATCAAGAAAAACTCTCTTGGGGCTGGTGAGATGGCTCAGTGGGCTAAAGCACCTACTTAGAACAAGCTTAGTAAAGCACAGGGACCACAGTTCAATCCCCCAGCACCACATGCCAGCCAGCCCCGCCCCCTGGTGGGCTGAGCTGGCCACACACACACACACCCCCACATAAATAAAATAAATAAATAAATAAATAAAAATAAAATCTATTTATTTATTTGGTACAGGGTTTCATTGCAGCTCGGACTCGTAGTGATCCTCCTGTCTCAGCCTCCCCAGTGCTGAGATTACGGAACCATGCCTGGGGGTCCGGGGTTGGTAAGACATGCAGTATTGGGGATGAAACCTTCCGCTTGGCAGGTGGGCACTTAGACCGCTGAGCTAGCTTCCCAGCCCAGGTGCTTATTTTTAATATAAAAAAGTGATTGTCGAGCTTCTGGTTTAGGCACCACGTGGAACTGATTCTAGTTCCCACAGTGAGAGGAGTAATTAGCCCGAGACCCTTAGCTGTGTAGGGAGGACCCACTCAGGCCACGGTGGAGAATGTGGAGTTGGAGTCAGGGCTACGAAGCCCAGGTCATGGTGGAAATGGGCAGAAGCCAGGTTCAGGCGGCGTCACAGCCGGGACCAGGCGTGACCAGGGAAAGCCAGAAATCGTCACCTATCCAGTGAGGATCATCATCGTCCAGTCTGAGCTTTGAGCCACTGTTCGAGGCAAGTCAGCCAACTGCTGCTACCGAGGAAACTTTTCAGGCAAAATTAGGAAGTGATAGAAATATAACCAATGAGATATAAGCTGTAACTATGTATCTTGCAGCATAATATAAGAAAGCGTACCATACCATGTAATACAATGTCGTGGCTGTGACGGAGGCCAATGGCACATCTGGATCTACAGTACTGTCAGGACCTAAGTCTGCTTACTACAAACCTAGCGGGGTGCAAAGCAGCTGCGATTACACATACAGCAGTGTGGTGGCTTATGCCTGTAACCTCAGCACTCCGGGAGGCTGAGGCAGGAGGACTGCAAGCTAGAGCCCATTACAGGTAACTTAGCAGGACCTCAATCTCAAAATTCCTTCCCCTCCCCTCCCTTCCAAAAAAGCAGTAGCAAGTTATACAATGATCATTACGTATACCTAAAATATAGCAATAAATTTAATTTTTTAAAAAAGTATACTGTTAGGGCCTGACACATACCTGTAATCCTAGCACTCAGGGAGGCTGAGGCAGAAGGGTCCCCATGAGTTTAAGGCTGGCATGGGCTAAACGGTGAGCTCAAGACCAGCTTGAACTCCATAGCCAGATCCTGTCTAAAAGATCGGGGCCATAAGAGGGGGGCACTGATACTTTCAGATCTTGGTTTTTTTTTTTTGTTGTTGTTGTTTTTTTGTATTTAGTTCAAGGTCTATAGGGTCTCACTACACAGATAGGACTCGTACTGATCCTCCCGTTTTCAGCCTCCCAAGCGCTGGGATTACAGGCGCGTGCCACCATTCACAGTCTGAATTGCTATCACAGTGAGATCGAACCCCGGCTGCTGCGTCTGCCTAAGAAGGTGATTTAGTCCACTGAGCTGTCTGGCTGCCCCTCCGATCAGCCGAAGGAGAAACATAATGACAACGTACAAAATGGCAGTTTCAAAAGTCTTCTACATTACTTGCATTGAATGTTGTTCCTTGGTGGGTTTTGCGTGCTTTGGCCATGTTGGGGAGCAGGGCCAGTAGGGTGAAGACCAAGGGTGTTTCAGGGACCCGTCACCCTGGAAACCTTGCTTTCTCTTCTCACTTTCCACTCGCACCCAGAGACTGCTGCCAATTTTGCCTTTTGAAAGAATGGCAGGTGACTTGCTTGATTCTACTTGCCTCCAAAAGGCAGTGTGAAGCTCATAAGGCTGTTTATGGGCTTTGAGAGAAGGTGACCCAGTGGCAGCGCCTTTCAGTGAGGGTGACAGGCTAACTCCCAAGAGCCCAAGTAATCAGCTGTTGGCTCTGTAGCCAGCCCATGACCAACCCCCAGTGTAAGGGCCCCTGCTCGGTGCGATTTCTCCATCCAGGCTCTTGCTTCGGGAGGGACTGAGACCCCCAGTGCCCACGTACTGGAAGGAGAGCCAGGCCCGCAGCTGCTCCTGCACCACACGGGACGCAGGTACTCACTGTAGTCACGAATGCCACCTGCCAGTTCTCCAGATGCCACTCACAGCGGATAACAGGGGACACCACAGCAATCAGCATGATCTCCATGGCCTCCACTACCTTGAAGAAGAGAGAATCCCGCCAGGTCCAGGAGCCGGCCCGTCAGCTCTTGCCGGGGCCTCCTGTCTGTCACCCTCCTCAGCCCTAGGTCCAGGGTACACGGTATGCCACCGCCATCACCCATTCTGAGGACAAGGCCCACTCAGCTTCCCAGCCCAAGACCAGGAGAGGGCTCCTGATGCAAGTCCACACTTCTGTTCTCCTCTGCCTGTGGGGGCGAGGGAAAGAACCCTTCCCAGCAGATAAGCTGGGAGGAATCAAAACAGACAGTGACAGAAGGTGCACACCTGTAAACCTAGCACTCTGAGAGGCTGAGGCAGGAGGATCTCAAGTTCAAGCCCAGACATCATAACCTAGCAAGATCCTGCCTCAATATTAAATAAAAATGCTAAAAACTTAGGGCTGTAGTTCAGTGTAGACCCTGAATTCAATATGCAGTACTGAATGAAAGCAAAGCAAAAGGCAGACACCATTTCACTCCTGTGGAGATTTTCTGGAAGTGGAAGAGAGCGGAGTCAGTCCCTATCCTGCCACACTTACTTGACCCTTCCAGGGATCTCACTTTACAGAGAGGGAAATGTTCTATATCCCGTTGTTGGTTATCCTAAAAATTAGACTAAAATACTTGACTTCATTCATTCAAGACAGGCTCCCTCTACATAGTCCAGCCTGCTCTTCAACTCACAGCGATCCCCTTGCGTCACCCTCCTGAGTGCTGGGATTACAGGCGTGTGCCACAATGCCTGGCTCTGTCCCTTTTGTCCCCTGTGAATGCACCCTCCTGAGACAGGAGCGTCCACAGCTCAGTGAGCACACTCATCTTTCTCACCTGCAGTTAGCACCCCCTGGTGTTTCCTCGCGGGGTTTCTGGTTAGAAATCCTTCCCTCTCCTTTCCCAAGCCACTGTTTTGCCAACCATAGTTTCCTCTCCCTCCCTGCCTTATCACCATGCATGTTGGTTTGTCCTCCAGTTCTGGGGATGGAACCAGAGCCTCACACATGCTGGGCAAATGCTTCCACTGAGCTATACCCCTAGCCCTCATTTCAATTCCATAACAAGTATCACTAAATTGCCCAGGCTGGTCTCAAACTTGGGACACCCCTGCCTCAGCCTCGCAAGTGCTGGGATGGCAGGCATGCCTCTCAGCTCAGCTAAGCTTGGAGTTCTGAATGCATTCCCAGTCTTTCTACTAAAGGAGGAAGTCACGGTTTTGTAGTTTCATGAACTTCACGGCTGTTCTCAAAGCCCAGGATGGGAGAGATGGGTCTCTCTTTCCTCCGAACAGCATATAGGAAATGTCTTAGTCCACTGCCTGACCAAATACTTGAGAGGATGTAATTTGTTTTTTGTTTTGTTTTGGTTTTTTGGTTTTTTAAACAGGGTCTCAACTCTGCTGTCCAAGGTCAAACCTGAGGTAATCCTCCTGCCTCGGCTTCCCAAGTGCTAGTGTTACAGGCATGCAGTACCACACCTGGCTAGAATGCATAACTGTTAAGGAGCAGAAAACTGCCTCTGTAATCCTAGCTACTTGAAAGGCTGAGGCAGGAGGGATTTGGAGGACCAAAGATATTCTCTGGAGCATGCATAATTTGGGGATTTCTACAGAATGGGGGTACAGGAAGTGAGGAGTATGAAAGCCCACAGAAGACATTAGAACAAAGGCAGTAAATCACAGTTGATCTCAAGGTTGACAGTGTCACTGCTCTGGAACAGAAAGTGTCAATCTTAGAGCTGCGATGCTGTCTTGTCCTCTTAAAGATTGTGAAGATGAGCTTTTTTGACACAACTGGAGGTCCCTTCCTTCAGCAGCTTAACCCTGGACAGCCCGGTCTCCAACACCTGTACTCCTGCATGGTCCAGTCATCTTCCAGAGGGCCCCTTGTCATACCATCACACTGGCCATGGCTGGAGTTGGGACACACCGACAAAAAACAAGCCTCTACCTGTTCCCCAGAAAGATCTGGGAACCTGTGAGGACCGCAGGTGTACTGGGTTGCTGGGATGCAGAAATATCTGGAGGCGGGCATGGTGGTGCATGCCTGTAGTCTCAGCATTCAGGAGGCTGAGGCAGGAAGATTACCCCACATTCAAGGCCAGCCTGGGCTACATAGTGAGTTTAAGGCCAGTCTAAGCTACATAAGGAGACCCTGTCCCAAAAAGAACACTGGGGAGCCTTGTGTCTGACCCCACACAGGATAATACCAGGGTTTCTCCTTTCCTCCCCAAACCTCAGCTGAACCCATTTTAAATGTGAGCTTTGACTCTTGGGCCGCAGAGACATGTCTGCATGTCCCTAGCCGGCATCTGCCCCCTTCTGCATTGCAGAAGCAGCCTGAGGGCCCAGCGAGGAGGCCAGCCGGGGAGAAGCACGGCGCCCGAGAGGCACTCACCCCCGTGCTGCCCATGATCAGGAACAGGGCGACGTGAAAGCGCCCAAACCCGATGGTCTCCACCGCGTCCTCCACTGTGAACATCTTGGTCTCTGCCAAGGGAGGGGACATGGGCACCGCTGTGTGGAAGGCGATGTGTGGCCCCAGTGCCTCCTGTCCCCTCCCATCACCCACTGTGGGGGAGCAGGGCCCTTACCTTTCTGAGGCTGTGGCTCCGGGCCCGAGAGGCTGAGCCTGCGCAGGCTGAGGATGGTGACCGGCTCCGTGGGCTTGGACGCCATGTAGCCCTGGTGCCTCTCACACTGCCAGGGTGGAAGGACAGAGACATCATGGTGACCAAGTGCCATCTACGCACTGGCCATGGGCAAAAATCTCAGGGAGCCTCACCAAACCCTGACAGGGGTGTGTTTTATCCTCAGCCACATACTTCCTCTGGAGCCAGACCACAGACTTCCAATCCTTTCCTTCCCAGACCAGGAGATGGAAGGAGGGAAGGAGGGAACGGAAGAGAAGACAGTGAAGATGTTCCAGACACACGCACCCGCTCCCCGAGGTGTGTGTCATTGCTATGGGCTGTAGACAGACTGATACATATAAGACAGAGCCAGGCACGGTGGTGCACACCTGTGACCACAGCCCTCGGGAGGCTGAGGTAGGAAGATCACCTCAAGTTTGAGGCCAGCCTGGGCTACCCAGTGAGGCCCTGTCTCAAAATAAAATTAAAGTTACATTCTTTCCCTTCCATTTACAAAGCACAGCTTTGAGGAGTTTGTCCTTTGTGTTCCTGTTTCCTTTTCTCCAACATGGGGACAATACAATGATCTCACCGACCTTCTGGGCTGATGTGAGGACTCCCTGGGGTGGCTTGGAGAAAATGCGCCACCTACACCTGGCGTGTGTGAAGTGAGCGGTTGCTGTGAGCAGGCGGCTCCGCCGTGCTCCCACTAGGATGCATCGGATGCCATCAAAACAGCAACAGCAAAGAGCTGCAGCCTGTAACAGAGGTTGAGCTGCATCTGCTCAGACTTACGCTAAGCCTACAACTCACCGGACACCTCTGGAGAACACCAGGGAACAGATTCCCATTCTGAAAACCAGTCAACACTTCTGCTTTCTTGTGGGCTCTGTACACCAAGGTAACCAATAACAAAACCATAACCTTGACATTTTCTTGAATTGTGGAGGAAATTAAGTACAGATCTAGCCGATGATTGCAGTGGCTGATGGGGACCTTACTGCCCCGTGGGTGGGACTGTTCCATTGCCAGGCACGGCGGGGGTGATTGGCTGTGGTCCCTGTGGAGCCCTGGTGGGCGGGAAGTATTTGCACCCCCTGGGAAGCACTTTGAGAAAATGGAATCCAGCCAGTGTGCGCAGGCAGCAGAGAAATGTGTTAACCCACCCTGTGTATGCAATAAAGAAAATCTAGAGCTTGGGAAGTTCTACAGAATGAGTGACTTTATTTCTTGAATAAGCAGGTGGTGAAAATAAAAAGGAAAAACACAGTTTTAGTGAGATTAAACTTGCCAAATTAGAACTACAGGTCGAGGCGTCCTTTTGATAATTACAAAAATAACTAAGAGACTGGAACGGTCATGGACACTTATATCCCAAGCTAGCCCAGAAGCTGGGGCAGGAGCATCTCAAGTTCAAGGCCAGCATGGGCAAGTTAGTGAGACCCCATCTCAAAATAAAATGCAAAGGTCTGTAGTTGTGGCTCAGTGGCAGAGCTCTCTGGATTCAATAAACAAACGAAATTTAATAAGAGAAAAGCAGGATGCCTACAAAATATTGGGAGAATTGCAAAAAGGAGAAACTATAGGAGTGTGTGGGACAGCTTCCGGCTATCCTGCACCGGCAGGACCTACTGGTCCCAGCCCAGGCGCAGCGTGGGTGAGACCCTCTTCCATCCCCTTGGGAGGCCCCCCAACACTCCACAGCACCTCCCCCACCCCACCCACCGAGTAGGAATTTCTGCCGCATTCCGGGAACCCCCAGACCCAGTCCTAGCCCAGGCCTGGTGAGTGTGTGGGAGAGCTTCCCGCTACCCTGTGCCGGTGGGACCTACTGGTCCCAGCCCAGGTGCAGCGTGGGTGACACCCTCTTTCACCCTCTTGGGACGCCCCCCACCACTCTGTAGTACCCCTCCCCCCACACCCCGCTCACAGAGTTGGAATTTCTGCCCCGTTCAGGGAACTCCCAGATCCAGTCCTAGTCCAGGACCGGTGAGTGTGTGGGAGAGCCGCCTCTCCCCGCTACTCCACCTTGTCCCCTCCAGACTCAACTCAGGCCTGGCATACAGGACTGGGGTGAAACCCTGCAGCTGCAATCCCTACAGAGAGTGTAGGGGACAGAACCACCCAGCTAGTTCAGGAACAGAACATCTTGCCAGAGGGGCACAACAGGTTCACCCCCAAGGGTAGCAGCAGGAAGGAGCTGAGCACAGCAGCCAGACCCAAGCCAGGCACAGCTGGATAGATCCAAACTGTAGATCTGCACCTGAACTTCAGTAAGTACTAAGGCTATAACTGGAACAAAGATCTACAACAAAGGTCAGAAGACAGTGCTACACAAAATGACAACAAGAAGGAGCAAAATGCAATCTCAGAACCCAAGCCCACCCATAACAAGAGCAGAGGACACTAGCACAGAACAAATTGGAAATCACACAGCTGAAAGCAATGAATCAACAGCTTCTGAAATAAAGAAACAGCTGCAGAAAGGTATAGAGGGACTCAGATTGGAAATGGAAAGAAACTATAGCCTATGCCAACACTTTTGTTAGTAATGGCTTGATACTACCTTAAGTTGGTGAGCCAAGATATAACGGATAATAATATTGTTTTAATTATACAGGTTAATCACTGAGAAAGCTAAAAACAAAAATTTCTCTAGCGATAGGGGAAGTTGAAGCAGAAGATTCTTTTTCTCTGTCAAATTCATCTGTTTGAAATCACCATGTGTGCTTGTTAGTTCAATTTTTTAATAAGAAAGGTAAATAAGCAGAATATGAAACATGTGTAGCAGAAGTTCTTGCAGGTCAGAAGAAAGTGATGACAGGTCAGAGGTCCAAAGGATCAGCCCAGAAGAATAAACACCAGTGGTGGGTACACCTATGAAATCAAGTTCCACCTCCTCTGTAACCAAGACCTGAATTCAGGTGTAACCATTTTCTGCTATTAGAGCTGCAAAAATGTTAAAAGATTGATTGGAACCAAGAATAGATGTAAAATGGTACAGTGTTTCTTTTGGGGTGTGTGTGTCTGTGTGTGTACTGAGACAGGGCTTTGCTGTATGTATTAGCTGGTCTTAAACTCACTATGTAACTCAGGCTGACCTTGAACTCTGCAACATCCTCCTGCCTCGGCCGCCCAAGTAGTGGGATTACAGGTGTGCATGAGCATGCGTGGCCAGTACGTATTTCTTGAGGGCAGTTCAATAACAGATGACAGAACATTAAGTAAGCCATTTCACTCCAAGGACTTGTAACGATACAAATATGCAAACAAAGTTATACATGGGGTAATCAAAGTATATGATGAATATTTAAATTTAAAATATTAAAAGACTGGGCGTGGTGGCGCACCCCTGTAATCCCAGCACTTGGGAGGCTGAAAAATAAGAGGATCACTATGAGTCCGATCTGTGTAGTGAGACCCTGTAGACCCTGTACTAAATGCATAAAAATAAATAAAATATTATAGTAAAAGATACTGTCATTAATCTCCCCTCAAAATACTACCCCTCACTCTGACCACGCTTATCCCACAGTTCACAATACTTTCTGAAGCAATTCAGGAAATCCTCTGTCCTGGGTGTCTGTATGAAGTCTGGTTAAAACACACACAGTGACCACTGCTGTCGGGCACTGTCCAGCGGAAAGGCAGGCTTGCAAACACCTGGTGCTGTGGCCTCACACACCTTGTTCCCAGGACCTGGCACCGTGCAACTTCTGGTTCTTCCACATAGTAAATATAAGCAAAGGTGGTTTTTTGTAGTTTATGAATTTTTTTTCTATAATTTTATTGATAAACAGCAATGAGACAGTTTCAAATCAAATTGGTAGGACAGTTTCAATAATTAACACATTGCATACATTCTTCTTAGTGCTTAATTAAGCAAAGGTTTTGAATCCATTTGGGGCCCAGGAGGAGCCATGACCACACAATCAATAGGGTGGGGCCCAGACGAAATAAAAGTCTGGAAGATGGAAATAGGCAGCTCAGTCTCCATCTCTCTGTCTCTGTCTGCCTATCTGTCTCTCTTGTTTATGTATTTATTTATTTGGTACAGGGTCTCACTACACAGCTTGGACTCATAGTGATCCTCTCGCCTCAGCCTTCCCAGCACTGGGATTATAGGCATATGCCACCACACCTGGTTTCAGTGGCATGTCTGGGGTTCTGGTGCCGGCACGGCATGTGGTACCTAGAACCAAATCCGGGTCCTTGCACTTGCCAGGTAGATGCTTAGACTGCTGAACTATCTCCCCAGCCCTGTCAGTCTCTCTTTTTCTCTCTCTCACACACAAATAAAGTTCGCTGTGAACTAAGCCACTGTTACCTGTGGCCTCAGATACCCGGCAATTTGGAGCAATTCTTAACAGCCACTGTTACCTGTGGCCTCAGATACCCGGCAATTTGGAGCAATTCTTAACGGCTAAATTTTCTCTTACATGCGCTATGAGGGTTAAATGAGATTATGTTGCTGTTGATTCTCCTCCCTGGATAAAAGAATGAAGGAAGCTGCTGCAGCCTCACCCAAGTCCCTCATCATTTAGCCAGAATAAGTGCCTTCTAATGACAGAACAGCAAGTGCAGGTCTCTCCAACTGGAGAGAGAGGGGAGAAAAAAAAAAAAAAAAAGAAAGAAAAGAAAGGAAGAGAGGAAGCAAGGGAGGAAGGGAAGAGGGGAGGGGGCTAGGGTCATGGGTCAGCACCGGAATTGTTGCCTTGAGTGTGGGAAGTCGTGGGTTCCATTGCTAGCATAAGAATAAAGGCACATATCTCAAGATCCTTACTGATAATATTTCACAAGTGAAACCCCACCCACCCCCCAAAGTGGAGAAAGGTTGTTTTCTGAAAGAGGCCGATGGTATTTCAAGGGTCAGTATAAGAGGTGCTGGGAAACCTTTGCTACTTGCGCTAGGTTCTCCCTGGGGAAGAAGAACTCAAGACCTCTCTAGCGGGGGTCTCACTTCACCCCACCAGTCACTTCACCTTATCAAAAAGGGGCAGAGAAAATAGGTCCTTGCTACTAAAAATGCTCCTGTTAGTCTACATTCCTATACTCTGCAAAAGCCACTCTATTTTACAGGAAGAAAGGGCTTTCAGACTTTACCTTTTCCAAAGGCTTTGTGGGTGCATGGAAGTGAGGAAAAAAACGAGTTGTAACTCCCTCAAACTCCACTCAGAGGAGGAGGGTAGCCCCTCGCCCCACCACCAGGGGGTCTGGCATCTCTCATGGTGACATCCTTGGGATGGATAGGGCCTCGTGAACTCTTGGGTCAGGGGATGTTGCTAAGTTCACCCACACCAGAGAAAGCAGGCCTCGGGGCCCCTGGTGACAAGAGGTTTATTTACAATAGGACCCTTTACTGGGTGTGTGGATGGGCTATCAAGATTTATTTATTTTATTTTTTCATTTTTTGGCTGGCTTGGGCTGCTTTAACGGAAGGCCTGGTGTGGCATATGGAGCCGGGGATCAAACCACAGCGCCCTGCGCCTGACTGAGTTTGCCCAAGCAGGCACTTTAAACAACTGAGCTAACCTGCAAACCCCCTCCACTTTTGGAGGGCTGTCAGGATTTAACGTTTGTGTGTGCAGATTGTAAAGGGAGACAGTGTTCTGAGCATGAAAGAGGACCCTTTCCCCAAAGCTGGTGAAGATTTTTATGGAAAGCATTTTCATCTCATCTTCCCATGTTTCAGCTGAAAGTTTCATCAAGACAGAAGATAAAATACTTAAAGAGATCCGAACTCTGAAATTGTGGGTCCGGGGTCTACTCATCCTCACAGGGCTTGTCTCTTTTCCTGACTTAGGAAGCAAAAAAGGAAGCAGAGTCAGAGACCAGCATGAAGCAAAAGCAATTTATTATAGGTGCTGGAAAGAAAGCCTGCACACAGCCACTCCTGTGGAGGGGGCTCACAGCGGGCACGAATAGTCAATTTTTATAAATTAGCGGCCTCAGCCCGTTTCTCTTTTCTTTTTGAAGATCTTTACTTGATTGGTTATTAGGAAAAGGTATTGATAGCTAGGTGCTCATAATGGAAACCACCAAAGATTTGTAAGAGGAAGTCTCCAACCGCAGGGTGTCAGGTCCGCCGCTTGCTAAGACAGAGACGGGTTCTTCTCCCTTACAAAGGGCTTATCTTCCCAGCTGATTCTCCCTAAGGTTCTCCACAGTCCCTACAAAATGGAGCGCCACAACAGCTGAGGTCTCGTTTGTTCTTTGATTCCCTACATCAGTCTAAAGTCCTTTATTTTTGGAACCTGGAATCGAACTCAGGACCTCTTGACAGGCAGGCATTGTGCCAATGAGCTAATGACAGGAAGAAAGGAAAGAAGGGAAGGGGGAGGGAGGGAAACAGTGAATCACAGGAGAGGTTCCCGATCATTGACTCCTAAAAACTACAACAGGAGAGTAACCGTGGAAAAGAGCTTCGAGAAAAAAAAAAGGTCGGACTGGGAGAATTCCTCCAGAATGCAAAGGCTCCAACAGAGGTCACGCTTCATTAATGCAAATTATAAAGAATTGTGTGACATCTTTATTTTATTGTTTTGATGTACTGAATGTTTTGGCTAGAAATAATTGGGCCCCTGTGGATCACTGTAAAACCGAAGAATATGCGCATGCATGTGTGTGTGCACACTTGTGTGTGTGTGTGCACACATGTGCGGCCGCTTGCAGTGAAGTTTGTTTAGCAACACCAATAAAAAGGAAACTTGCACACACCATTTGCCTTCAACTGCCCCCAAGTAGTCAACTCCCCTCTCCCAGCCAGCAGCAGGAAGAGCAGGCAGCTCTACTGTCTGTCCAGCATTTCTTACCTGTGCTTCTTCTTGGGAAGGTGTCCCTTTCGGGTCCCTTGGCCCACCTGGTCACAGCTGGAAGTAGGAGGTGGAAGTCGGAGCGCTGAGGGCCTCGGCTCCAGGACTCCCTTGGGGAGATGCCAGGCCCAGGACTCCTCCTTCCCTTGGGCCTCCAGCCAGGTTGCAGCAGGACAACCTTGCACCCAGTCAGGGGCAGGGCTGACACCTGGGCACACCCCCTGCCCAGCTGCCCTTTTGAAGGGGAAATTAATCAGAGCTGAGTAACCCATGGAAGGAAATGAATGTTTGCTCCCAGGGGCAGCGGGGAGAGTTTCTGAAGTATCCCAGCTGAGCAAGGGGCCAAGAGCGGTCCTCACGCATGCAGCTCTCCTCTCACAGCTGTCACCGTTCAAAATTAGAGAGCAGGTGGCTGTGGCCCACCTAATGGTGTCCCACAGCTCCCCACGCAACCCAGAGGCAGAGGCCATGGTCTCCAGCTGACTACGGATGGACAACTCCATTTCTTACCCGAGTCCACTTGACAAAGTGTCGGAGTCGGAGCCCAAACACACATTTCCTACTAGCACTCTTGCGCAGCTTCCCTCAGTGAACCTGTCCTGGGCACCTGAAGTGTGTCTTCGATGCACTGGAGGCAGGAGGTGACCACCAGTGACACAGAAGTTTCCACTTAGAGAGGAGCATCGAGATTCCCATGGGTGTCATTCCTGCATATGGTGGCAACTGAGGGCAAAAGTAGTTGCACTCCAAAGGCGAATTTGATCCCATCAGCTCTTTTCGAAATTCTTTTACGGCTAATGAACATTTAGAGCTAAGTACAGCGTGAAAAGAACTCTATGGGCGCTCTAAGCACTATAAAAATGTTTTTATATTTAGTTACCACAGAGATGAATTTTCACCTGGGTGAAGGCCATTCCAACAAAGAAGCCCATGGCATGAATCTTAGCAGGTTCTTGGAAGTGGGCCAGGCCAGGTGTCCCCAAGAAAGAGCGCACGGGGCCATGGCCAGGCTGTTAGTCCTTCCTGGTTCTCCACTTCTAGGCCAACACCCCTGCTGCCTCCTTCTCCAGTTACTCAGCAGACAAAGCCTGTGACCAGGGACTGTCACACCTCACTGCACAGCCGTAGGCCAAGGCAGAGCCGCACCAGGGAACTCAACCTGCTCTTCCTCCTCTGGAAGGGAAGCTCATGAGAAAGTTCGCACACGCGTAATGCTAAACCCAAGACAAACTGAGGAAGAGGGAAGTGAGGGAATACAATCAACCTGATCCCTCTCTGGGATTAGCTTGTGTGAGTCTGTTGTTCCCGCTGGCCTGTAATTATCGATATGAAATGCTATGGGACAGTTCTGATGTTTTTTTTTCCCTGGAGTCAAAAATGAATGGCTCATTTGTTTGTTTTCTTGATTATACTACTTCGCCTATTACAGGAAGACTTGGTTTAACACGTCCCATCATTTCCCAATCATTTTATTAGTTGGTAATTAAGACCTCCCAGGAAGCCCAAAGGAATTGCCAAAGCAATTGGCAATTGGACACCGAGGCTTCCACCCGAATACCCACAACCGCTTCCTGCCTCTGAGTAGCCAAGAGCCACACTCCACAGGACGCTTTCAGCCTCAACGCCTCCCGCTTGCTCAGGCCCACTGCAGGGTAAAGACTGAAGCTACTCCTCGGCCGTCCCTTCCAGAATGTCCTTGAAGGAGAACGGAGAGAACTTGTACCCAGCCCCGACGTAGAACTTGTTCTGGAACTCCACCCTGGTTGGGAGCCATGGGAGAAAAGGAGATTAAACATGCAGGTTAGAGGCTGGCAGGAGGAGGCAAGATGCACAACACTTGTAAGAAGCAAGTGGAGGGGCCGGGGAGATGGCTCAGTGGAATAAGTGCTTCCTGGGCAAGGGCCTGAGTTCAATCCCTGGTTTTTTACAAAAAAAAAAAAAAAAACAAAAAACAAAAACCAGCAAGCTGAAGGTAGTAAGGCTAGCCAGGACTTGCTGTCTAACTGGCGGCTGCCGGGGGAACCCTGATGATGCCCCAAGCCCTTCTCCTGTCCCCCTCTCACCTCTCCCGCCCCCGCCCAGCTCACCAGCTCCATGGAAGGTGAAGATGCCTGTCCCCCAAGGCATTGGGTGATGCCCAGTGCCTCAATGTGGCAGCCGTGACAGCCGTTCCCAAGGCGATCCTGCATTCCATGGCCACCCTGTCCTGACTGTGGGCCCCTGTGGCTGCAGAATCATCACTACCTTGACCTGGCTGTTAGCATGTTGGATCGTGGGTGTTTTACGACCTTACAGGGTTCATGGCAGGAGAGGGTGTCGTGGGTGTAGGGATTGTTTCCATCCTCCCCCATCTGTACCTACGGGTGAAAGCCTTCCTGCTCAGCAGCAGCCACAGAGCGAGATAAACAATGCCACTGCAAGCTGAGGATGGTCTGAGGGGCCTACAGACACGCACTGCACCTTCCGCCTCCTGTCCCCGCTAATCTTAGTGTACATCCATGTATGTCACATTAGCATTAGCATTCACATTAGCATTCAGCACACTGCCCACACTGCATCATGCACTCACTGAGCCTATTTAGGATCTGTCACCTTACCTGTGCTCAGAGGCACCACTTAATTAAAGCCCATTATTACAACAAATGAACACCTGATTTTTTAAAACACAGTTAAAAAAGCCCCTAGTACTTAAAAGAGGGCCATCAGTATATGTCTAAGTGTTTATTACATCATCTAATATTATCCAAACAGAAGACTACACTCATACTATGGCAAGGCACAAGCACCCTTAAATAACAGGGCCAGTGAGGCTTAGAGCCCAGGAAGCTGCTGGCCCCGCAGCGGGACCTTCCCTCCACCACCCCGTACCTCCTGGGACAACTGTGCTCACCAGTGCAGCCGCAGGGCATGCAGGAAGGCAGACAGGCCCTCCATGATGAGGAGGATGGCCACTGTCAGCACAGCAAACACTGCAAAGATGACGAAGACCCCCACGAGTCCTCCCCAGCCTCGAAGGCTCAGGCCAATGTTCATGACCATGGTCCAGAGCACTTCAGACAGTTCTGCAAGACACAAGCCACAGCTTTAGCCCCAGAGCCCAGCTTGCAGGTGCAGATTCGATCTGGACATCATCTTAGATCAGCAGCTCCACTTGGAGATGGAGAACATTCTGGAGCCTGAGTGGGAAAAAGGCTACAACACCTCTGTCCACAGTGCGAGAGTTTCCATCGAGAGGAAAACAAATCTGAGGTGTGAGCAAAATGCTGTATACAGTGAATTCTTACATTTTTTAAAAATTTCATTATATGAGGATCAATGGAATAGACTAGAAGATGCAGAGGCCTCTAGGAATGCACTCAGCCACCTGCTCTTTGACAAAGGGGCCAAACACACTTACTGGAAGAAAGATAGTCTCTTTAACAAATGGTGCTGGAAAAATTGGTTCTCTACATGCTGAAGATTAAAACTTGACCCAGGCCTATCACCATGCACTAAAGTCAAAATGGATTAAAGAACTGAACATTAAA